GTTGGGTACTCCTGAATAAACTGAGCAGGCAGAGGAGGAATTCGGCTGCGAGGAGTGAACACAAAGCCATAGTGTTTGTACTTGTTTTTCGCGTTACCGTTGTGTTGACAGTGAAACCTCTGTATCATAGGAACCTTTAGATTGGACTAGAGTACGATTTTCGAATTTCTAACCAGTAACGGTGTTCCCAGAGCCCTTGTTGTTCATGTTGGTTTTGGGTAGAGAGGGTAGCTCATGGAGAGAGATGGGGATGTAATGTGAAAATGTGAAGCCAGCAAACTATTGAATTGAAGTGAGTCGTACTCGCACTCGATCTCATACACGTATTCAAATTTAAAGTCTCCTACCAATCGCGTTAACAAAGTATAAAGGGACGGAAACTTCAAAGCCTACAAGACATTTTCATTGACAGAAAATTGTAAATAATGGTCTAGTTCTTTTAAAAAATATATTTAGGTGGATTCTCTGATGTCAAATTGATGAAAGCAGACTTTTATCAAATGGTGTCGTCGTATCTTGGAAATATTTTGCCAAAAAAAAAAAGATTTACGTATGTTCGTCGTGCTCTTAGAGCATTTCGCGCACTAGCAAAGATACTTTTCTACAATTTTAGCACTCTGTTGTCCAAAATGCAGCGAAATCGCTTTGATAGTGCCTCATTAAGAAGCGTTCGTTAAAAAAGGGGCTTGCTCTACCTAACCTCTTATAACGAACCTGTGGGCTGAACGCAAAAATCTTCGCCTTGAAAAACATAGAATGTTCACAGCCCTCTATTTTCTCGTACTTTTATTCGATAGTTGAACGCGCTGATAGAATAGCGAGAGAACTGGGCGCCAGCGCAAAACAGGAGACTTCACGGGGTAGGTGCTTCGTGGTCGGGCCCCGGGCCGGGGCTCGGGCTCGCTTCGCTCGATTTTTCTTTCGCGTGCGTTGAAGAATAGCGAGTAGAGCGACTGTGAGCAGCTTATGAAAAAACAGCGCTATAATGCTTCTATATTTATCAGTTACTACAGTGCCGGCCGCCACTGATCACAAAATACGTTCTGTTGACAGAAAATGTGCGTTCTTTTATACCGTTGACAGAAAACCGTAAGTAATGGTCTAGTTCTGTTAAAAATTAAACGCAAGTCCCATACATGTCTTATATCGGAGTTCTGGTCGCGCCTAGGCAATAGCGTTCGGTTTACTGGAACGTTGTTATGAAGGTGCTCGATATATCGGGCTTCCAGTTATTGTGCGCTATACAGTAACGATTGAACTGTGATCAGAGAGAATTTGGCTTTTACATCACTAGCTCGGAATTGGACCAAGCAAATTTAGCACGGTATCCTTAAGGAGCTGGGAGGGAGAATCAGAAGGTTATGGCTGGTTTTCACTAGTCATAAGCGTACGCATAAGCAGACAAACGCAGGCACAATGAGATGCTGAGAATTAGTAGTAAACGACTGGCAGTAAACGACTATAAGGGGGAGATTAAAGTTCAGGCCAAGTCAAAGGTGAAATGAAAGGCAATAATAATAAAAAGAAAACTTCAATATAAGTTGCAAAACTGAAATCAAAATTCGCGCTAAATCTGGATAAGCTTACCTTTGAACTTTCAAGTTCTGGGTGAACTGAGTAGATCCCTCCTGCGAGTGCATTTATAACTGAGGCCCCTTCCACGCTATGCCGGAGGAATTTGAAAACGGATCGAGGTTTTGCTCTGAAAACGCGTCAAGGAGGAATCCACCAGAATTTCGAGTAACAAGTGGACAAAGAATTTGTACCAAGATTAGATTTCCATCGTCTCGCAAACTTCTGTGCGACTATTTTAAATATCTTCTCGAAAAAAATCATCTCTAACAACACCAAATGTCGAAAACAAATTTTGTACTTCATATGAAACACGTAACACTTAATGGCTGGTCCCAAGAGGAGCAGTGAATTTTATTTCCCGAGAATCTCAGTGTTTCCCGAGACGAAGTCCAGGGAAACATTGAGATTTAATGGAAACAAGATTCGCTGTTCTCTGAGGGACCAGTCATTAAGTGATTTGTTATATAGCAAAAGAAAACAAAAGCAAATTTTGAAAAACGCGCCGAGATTCCAGCAACAACATCAGGCCACCTTCAACTGCACCCTCTGATCACGTACAATATTCTCAACATTGCTCGGGTAACAGTGAACTGTTTCCCGTTTGACGTCATAGTTTTCGCAATGTTGCCCGTTCATGGCATTTGGCGGTAAACAGTTTCATTGTTAGATGGCAGGTGACCATGAATTAGCCAGTGAATGGGCTCGCTGTAGCGGGAAAAACGCCAGCTATATAACAGTTGAAAGTATTGGTGAAATGAAACTGATGATGAAATTTTACCTGTGTTTGCACAATTTCTCTGAACTTTGAAACTTATTTTCTCGAGTTCCCATAGGAAATTGTTTTTGGTGTTATTTTAGGCAACTATTTATAAACGAGGCAACAATCAGTTCACCGGTCATTTTAGATTTGTGCTTCACAAAATCTTCAGGTCAGGAAAATCGAAGAGTATCGCCGTTGACGTCCTCGTTTTCGAAAAGCTCCGTTTTCAAAATGATTTCCGTCCACACGAAATCGAAAAGCTGGCGTTTTCAAATTCCCCTGGTTTGAAGAGCGTTTTCGAAAAGCTCTGTTTTCGTGACGGATTAGTGTGGACGGCAGGCCTAACCGTAGAAATAAAGCTGCGTTTTCAAATTCCTCTGCTTTGAAGAGCGTTTTTGAAAAGCTCCATTTTCGTGGCGGATTAGTGTGGACGGTAGGCCTAACCGTAGAAATAAAGCTGCGTTTTCAAATTCCTCTGGTTTGAAGAGCGTTTCCGAAAAGCTCCGTTTTCGTGACGGATATAGTGTGGACCGTAGGCCTAACCGTAGAAATAAAGCTGCGTTTTCAAATTTCTTCGGCGCACTGTGGACGGGGTCTTACACACCCTGACCAGGGCTCGAGAAGAACCTAGGGAGAGGAATCTTGAGTATGACTGAGAGTTCTAGCCTGTTCCAGGTTCTCGGTAGTTACAGTTGAACCCCGCTATTTCAAACTCTCAGGGGAAATGAAAAATACAGTAGTTCGAAATGGTGGGAGTTCGAAATAGCTCCATAGTAAATAACTGAAGGACCAATCCATGGGAAATGATTTTGATTTCGAAATAACGGGGAATTCGAAATAGCCGAGTTCGAATTACCGGGGTCCAACTGTACTATTACACCACCCTTAGCTGTTTTGTGCTGATGTAGTTCTATATACGTTTGATTTTCTAAGATTGTTTGTAAAGAATATAAACATTTTAGTCTTTTAGTGAATTTGCGTCTGCATTCAAAGCTCTCAATGCCGTGACTGAGAAGGTGTTTTCTAACGATTTCATTTTACAACAATAGGTGGTACAGTCACCGAGAACTTTACAGGACAGAGGTTTCAATGGAGAAGTTCCCAAGCTGACGTATAAACAAAATGAAGACTTCTTGAACACTTCTTGATCAGGTGTAAGCTTTTGACTGTGTAGTTTCTGATGCTACATTTGGGATTGGAGCTCTCTAACCTTACGCCCGGTCCAAACGCCGCTCCACTCATGTGCCGAACCAAACTTGATTAAGTTCGACTTCAGAGAGACTTTGGAGCGACGGCTGGTTCAGACGGCGTGCTTGCGTCGAGCTTAATTCGGGAAGCCGATGGTAACAATTTTCGACGAGAAAATATGCGTTCTGAATTTAAGAACTCTGTCCAAATAGAAAAGCTGTGACTAACATTTCGCTGTTATCATGGTGTTATAGCAATATTTAGGGAAGCAAATTCAACCTCAGGGTTCAGTGTTTGTATTTAGACAGGTTTTCTCCCGGTTAAATCGACTTGTTAAAGGGAAATCTAATAAGTTGGGCTATTATCACGACGAAAAAGCAAAAAATGAATTTGCGCCAAAGAAACTCGCTTACACATTCCTGTTTCTCATAAATCGAAGGCATACTGGTATTTTGTTGTCTTTATTTTTAGAGACGACTTTGAGCTTCATGCATGACTTGTCACGCCACTCAATTTTGGGCCAATCACGAATCCCGTTATATGAAAAATAAGCTACAGTAATTTATGCATTAGGTTCGACACATGAGGAGAACGCCGTATGAATCAGCTGCCGCTCCAACGTCGCATAGTGCGACAGACCCTGCCGAATTTAATGTTGTTTGCCGCACCAAACTTAACCTGCCGAACCAAACTGATTCAAACGTCGCTCTTCTGCCGTACTTAACTCGTCAGTTAGGTTCGGCGAATGAATGGAGCGGCGTTTGGAACGGGCCTTAGTTAGTAGCATTATAAATCTTATAGTTATAGTTTTAAGCCTTAGCTGTAGTCTTACGCTTTTAGCTTTTATTACTTTACTATGATTATTATTTTACTGTTGGACCTTATTTTTTAGGGGACCCTTCTGAAAACCACTACTTGGTGACTGGATTTATTTTGTTATTGTTATATTATTATTTGTTTTTATATATAGGAATAAAATTATGTTAAAGCCAAAAGATTTCAATTCTGCTACCTTAAAAGATATGTTTTAAAGTAGTTTTCTTTCAGTTTGTGCATTTTTTTAGTGTGCACTATTTTGCTACTGTAAAATGTTCTTGGTAATCTTTTTTTTTTTAGATAAAGTTTGCCAGGAGTACACGGCTGGTTTTCCTTTAGCCTCCGCTCAATAAGAAGCTTGGTATTGAACCTCTCCAACGAAATGATTTTAACGATGATTTTAACGGTGTAGATCGAAATCATTTTTACAAGAAAGGTTTCATAAAAATACTTTTTGGGAAAAAGTAACAACAAGTAACTAAATGCATGTAACTGACTGACGAACCTAAAGACTGTGCACGTTATGTAATTCTTAGGCTGTGTGCTGTCTGGAGCAACTATTTCAAAGGCAACTTAACCTCGTTCTTTTCCTCGTTTTTTGTTGTTTTGTTTGTTTTTCCCTCATCCTCTCCACGTTTCAAAGGGAAAATTTCCTCCTCAGACGGAGCGAGGAGCGTAGGGAGTTATGGGCTTGTTGCATTTCGCTGCCTAACCATCAAGGCTTGCGCTCCCTGTTTCCCGCCTTTCAATGACGAATTGGAACGGCGCCATTTTCGTCCCCAGTGCTACTCGTTTTAAAATGTTTCGCCGACCACGTGGCTAAACGAAATGGAGGCTCTGGGAACGAGAATGAAATGGCGGCTGGAGACGAGGCAAACAGGATATTTTCGTATTCATGAGGTGGTTTCACGGCGGCATACAATACTTCCTGAAAACGTCTACGATTCCCGTCAGCTTCTTATCAGATCAGAAGCTCGTCGAGCTTTCTTATGTCGATTTTCTAATTTAACACGCGGTGATTCGAGCCGAAGGACAATTTCCATGATTCAATTACAGTTGCGTGTTTGCTTATGATAAAACACGTCGCGAATTTGTCTAAACAACATTAGCTTTTACGCTCCATGCGGTGTTTCAATCATCTTTAACTGAAGCCTAAAGGGCACTAAAAAGCATAGAAGAAACATTATGACTACAGCAATTAAAAATAGCACATTGTCTTTGCACCCTGTTCTTGAACTTCCTAAAATAAATTCAACGTTGCATGTAAGATCTCTAAAAATTATTCAACCTCCTAAGTGAAACCTATTACCGAGCCGTTTTAAGGAAATAATTAAAGAATTTATCTGCAAACTCATATGATGTACTGAAAAGATAACTTTGAATGTAAAATGGAAGTTACACAGATCTAAAAGATTCTACGGATCATGTCAGTCCAAAGGTTCTAAGTGTCCTGCTGAGCTCTATAGTTTAAGGGGAAATATAGTATAAACATTTCAATTTGTTTTGATTTTTCAAAGTGATAACTTATTTTGTTAGAAATTAACATTAGTTAAGAGACACAACTGCAACAAAATCCTTTAACAAATGGATCAACTTTGTTGCTGTTAAAGGCCATTTGATTTGTGAACTTCTATGTACTTTCTTCAATAATTGGTCTCCTTTTGCTTTCATCTGTAACTGAAACAATTAAATTCTGGGGTGTTATCGCGAAAATCAAGTCGTTTCCAATAGTAACTTAACCAGGTGTTAAAATAATCTCACTGTTGCTATCATTTGCATGCTTTCAGCCCAAAATAGCTGTTTTAAAAAATATCCGGCGTTTGGAATAAAAGCCTTGCCTTCTTTAGCCATGTTAAGCCCTGGTCGTTCTTCGTCTTGTTCACCAGCCCTGAGTGACGGGCCGGATTTTTTAGAGTTTGCTGTTAATCACCTGTCTGTGGATGACGAAAGTGAATTTTTGTTTCCAGTTGTCGAAGAAAGGAAATTTGGCGATGGCCTCGTTAACGCGAGTGATCATTATGAAACGAGAGAGGAGTTTCAACGCCTCGAGAATGGAGCCGATCAAGATACTCCTGCGCAGTTGCAACAGCAAAAAGAAGGTGAAAACAGCAGAGAAGAAAACCCCAGCACAGAGACGAAGACGAATTCATCTGCCGGCTGCAATGAACGGAAATCGAGTACAGACAACAAACTGCCCAGTTCTGAACAAGACGAAACATCTGCTGAAGACTTGAGCACTACATGCAAAATGTCAGCGATGTCAGGGACTTCAGATTTAAAAATAAAGAGTAAACGTCCCAACGTTCCGGGAAGTTTTGAGGAGCTTGGAGCTGTCACTAAATCTGCAGCCGTTTGGAAACGTCGCGTCTTTACTGAAAGTCATAGCCACCGATTTGAAATTTCACACAATAGGAATAAGAGGAATTCTGTGCGCAAACTGGGAGATTGTTCTTTGTTGCGTAATGTGCCTCATAATAAAGACAAATACCCAAACAAACAGAGGAAGTTAGATTTATACGACGTTGTAACAAATGTGTATGCCAAAAAGAGAGAATCCAAAAGAGATTCAACGCTGAAAAGTGCCAGGTATTTGAGCTTAGCAGAACGAAGCGGCGCGAAGTGGCTTCAAAATACCGTCCGCTCCAAGAAAATGGAATTACCGCCAATTGATGTGGTTTCAAGGGAACGCTATTTGACGCACTGGATTCCACAGAAAAGCTTTCCTTCGCATGGTGAAGTCAACGTTTTAAATGAGTACAGTAATGTTCAGAGGGACGCTCGCAAACAATCGGATTCAAACAGTATAGTTTTAAAATCAGTTTTGGAAACTCTTGAAGCTATTCATCTCAGTGGCCAAAACAGGGTGGATGTACTCAAGCATTCTTTAGCTTCACTGAGTCGCAATAATAATCGAGCAAATTTTAAGAAGAAAGCTTTGCCCCTGGTGAAAAGCGCTCTAGCTTTTAAACATCATGGTAACAAGTCAGATGAGAGACCCTGAGGCACTTATTTGTCACTAAAGTAATTTAAAGATCAGTTCGCATAATGGCAAATCAAAATACTAGCTTCGTCTGATTATACACAAGACTTTTATGCGACGGATCTCATCTATATTTAAAACATATAAGTATTGGTTTGACACACAGAGGACAAGAAATGCCTTTTAATCCACACGTTCAAGAGTAATAAATGTATGTAAATAAAAGTTGGAATTCAGATCTTCGTGTCTCACATAATCAAAAGTCATGCACTTGTGAAATATTTAGATTTTTTGGCTGGCTGCAGCGGGAATATTTAGATTTTGTTTCCAAGATTAAAGTATAGCACGCATCGTTTATACCCTGTAACTGATGCCTATTTATCTCGTCACATTAAGTATTTTACCGTTGTTGCATAATAAAGTTGAGTTTTTGTTCCAAAGTAGGGATTTATGCAGTGAGATTAGCAAACTTGAATGGTAACTTCCCCTGGTTAATTTAAGGCGATATTCTTTTCAGTTCTCTAGACCTAAATTCTAGCGCAATGCAATAAATTTTGCATACTTAGAAAATCGTGGGGTCTTGCGGATTATCAGAAAGTGTCAAATGGCCAAAATTGGAGTACTTTTATCGCCCAAAGTCGAAAGCAAGCGATCATCAAATAGCTCGGTTACAGAATATAAAAATTCATGCCTGAAACGCAGATTAGAATAATTTGTTTCAAGATATTTCTTTTTTAAAGACGGCTAAAAGGTGAGAAGTACTAAACACTTAATGACTGGCCCTAAGGGAAACGGTGAGGTTTGTTTCTCCGAGATCCTTAAGGGTTGATGGGAAACAAAACTCATTGTTTCCTGTGGGGTCAGTCATTAAGTGTTTTGTTGTACCCTTCAAACAAAAATGGAACAAACTGCGAAAAAAATTATTTGCTTGACGCTGGCTGGCACGCACATTTGCCGCGGTTTCAAGGTGCACGACCTGATCACGTGCGAGTCGAAAGTTCAAGGTATTGTTTTCCTTGGGAGTTAGGCGCCGTTCATACTTTGAAAACGAAGGTCTCACTCTGAAAATGTATCAAATGTTTTCCGTCCACACTACGCCGGAGGAATTTAAAAACGCAACAAATCACCGGTTATTTTGGATTTGTACTTGAGGAGAACTTGGACAGGAAATGATTATTGTGACGCTATCGTTTTCGAAAAGCTCCATTTTTAAAATGTTTCTGTCCACACAAATGAAAAGCAGGGGTTTTCAAATTCCTCTGCCGTTTAAAGAGCGTTCCGTTTTGTTGACGGATTAGTGTGGACCAAGAGATTATCATCATGAATGAAGTTAGATCTACAAGAAGAGTCAAATTTTAAGACTTTTTATTCATTATGATCAATAAGAAGCAGATTTTCAGACATAAGTCTACAGGGTGTTTTACCGGCAACCAAAAAAGGCGAGGCTAACGTCAAGTTTTGAATAAGAACTGAATAAGTTCAGTTATATTTTACTTAATAGTCTCACATAGGTTTACTAGCTTAAAAATCTCACATTTATTCAGTCAGAGTAATCGCTGAATATGTAAGCGCGGCTTTCAGTTCTGTTTAGAAAGCTGAAAAATTTGCTTTGTGGCTCACGTTCCCCATAACACGCAGAAATTTGGACGGTTGAGAAATGTATAACGCACGTGCAGACGGAGCCATTGAGGAGCTCTTTAAACCTTGTGTTTGACCACCTTCTTATTGCCATAGCCGTTGTGATTTGGTTAAACTCTCTTACTGCTCATAGCTGTTTGCATTGTTCGCAGTGCTATTTGGTAGAGACAATCTTTGTGCCTAATGGAAAGCAATCCAGAATCTTGATTAGATAACCTTCAAACGGATGTACTCCTAATTTCACTAATTTCAGGATTTTTGCGACAATTTTGCGAACTCGAAGAGTGCAAAGCCTTTAAAGAATGCTCTTGCCTCACTTGCGACGCTCGATTCCCCTCCGCGTTTCGTCGGTGGTTACAAAATATCTTCTTTGCGGCTTCTCTAAACTTGGGTATTTTTAAAGCAAACAAGAAAGGGTTGACTAAAGAATTGCCATAATGTAGAACTTTAGTGGAGTACACAGCTACAAGGCTGACTGGCCGAAACATGTTGACTGTGTTCAAGATTATAAACGGCAGCCATGCTGATAGTGAGGCGATGGTTAAAATAGAAACAGTTACGTTCAACCGTCTTTCACGGCTTTGGTTCAAGCGCTTTGTACTGAAAAACAGGAGTTTAGCCCACATAACAATGTAAGCTACGCCGATAAGCAACAGCAGAAGACAAACCACGGGCATCCATGCGTACAACGAGATGTAATCGTTTCCTAAATAGATTCTAATACTTGGAATGATGGCGGAGATAATCCATAGGAAGAGAGTCACTGCAGCGTAACTCGCTGTTTTTATTGTTCTGTATTTGGTCGGGTACAGCGTGGCGTAGAGTCTCTCAAGAGCAATGGCGGCGAGGAAAGCAATCGACGAAATCCCCGAAAACATGTCAAGGAATATACTGGCAGTGAATAAGATGTCTTTGTATTTGAATATCCACAGGTCGTAATATCCCCCTAAGATGTAGACAAAGAGCGGTTCTGCAAAGGCTCCTACCGTGAAGTCAGCCAGCGCTAAGTTCACAAGGAAGTAATGGCGATGCTGTCTTCGCATGTCATGCGCTTTAGCAAAGACGGTCATAATGAACAAATTTCCTATCGTCACAACGACGGCTTCAGCAGCAAACATAGCACACCAGCCCTTGACTTTAGACGTGCTCACGTGACTTAGTGTTGCCATGACGACGAAGTTGTGGTGTGGTTCTAGCTGCGAAGAGTTGTTTGCCATGACTGTGGTGTCAATCTCTAGATCGCAAAGGAAATAATTAAAAAAAGTTAGTGTGGAAAGAGATAAATTAAAAATACATCTATCTTGAGTACGATTTGTTTTGACTGAACAAGCTAGTGGTAGAACAGGTCTCTAGTTTCAGAGGTTCAGAAGTTGTATCTTCCTCTTTACATTTCAGTCAAGAGCGGAAAAAAAACTCTGGTAGAGTCTTGAAGTCGTAGAACCTTAGTATTATTTAACCATTTGAGTGTCGAAAAGTAATAGGTTTTGCATCAACTACGCTACACTATTAGTGTCCCTTTCATAAACTCGCGCCACTTTTTCATCCAATCAGAAGTAAAACCAAAGCCAATCGTGACGCGTTTGCACTCGTTTTCCCGCGCTTCGCGTCAACTTCATGTAATTACTTCGAGTTTTGATTGGTCCACTGTATTGTCTGTGTCCTTTGTGATTGGCTAGAGTTATCACTTTGGTCTTGGTTTAAAGACTCAACTGAAAACCGCGCTATCAAAAATTTCAATATTTAGAGAGGACGCCACATCAGCCTTAGCTGGTTTTCATGCAGGTTCTCTATCCTGGTCGAATTGGAATTTAGAGATGTCGGTTTTTGTGGAGGGAGGAAAACCGCAGAAGCCGGAGAAAAACCCTTGGAGCAAGGCGAGAACCAACAAACTCAACCCACGTATGGCACCGGGCCGGAATCGAACCCGGGCCGCATTGTTGGGAGGCGAACGATCTCACCACTGCGCCATCCCTGCTCCCCTATCAAAGTCGATGGAAACAACAGATAAGCATAGCCTAGTGTTTAACTCATACTAAACGTAGAATATCAATAAAACGATTTATTATATGGCTTTGGCTTGTGGCCGATATAACGCGCGCTCTGATTGGTTAATTGTCACTGAATTGTATGGCATTATTCTCCCGTAATGCCCACGGGCCGATTACGGATTATGCAAATTAGGAAGAGCCCGGTTCTGAAAATTCAAGCGCATTGAAGCGATGAAAGCCGATTAAAATCAGTACGAGAATATCAGTAGCAAAACGTTTAGAGATATTTCGTTAATAAAATTTATATAGATGACTTACCAGTCGGTAACCTTGGCGGGCACTAGTGAA